GCCAATATGTTGGTGCTGGGAACCAAATCCTTGTCCTCTGGAATGGCAGCCACTGGTTATGGCACAGAACCTCCTCTCTAGACCTTGCACAGTCACTTTCATGGCAGCCACTGGCTACAGCACAGAGCTAGACCTTGCATGAGCGATTTCCAATATTGTCACTTACATATGTGGTTAACATGCTGATTTCTTTAGTTAGTTGTTGGAATTCCTCTTCGGGTCATTAAAATTAACACAAGAAATGTCTTCAGAGCAGTTTTAGAAGTACTTTTGTTTTTGTTTCTTGGATTTTGCTTTTTTCCTTCTGTTCCATATTTCCTAGTCCTAAGTCTGCTAATGCTTATTGAAATTTGAGCTTTGAGTATAACAGCAATCCCTCCTGGGCTTTATTTTTCTAGGACTTCCATAATGTATTATAAAACTATGTCCACTGGGCTGGAGCCTCTTTTCACTGTCCTTGAACAATATAAAGTATAATTATTTTCCCATTTGCCTTACTGACCCAGAGAAGTGAGGATTCAGTGTCTTGGATGGGCCTAAAACAAGACAGGAATTGGATATCTGTTCCACACTGAACATCTGGAGAAAGGAGCCAGCCCAGCCTTGCTAGTCTTCATGTAAGCAGGTGTTGGGAGCCTCTGTTCTACCAGCTGCTTTTATATTTAAATCTCAGCAGAAAGACTGCTTTTACCAGGCCTTTACTGGAATCAGTGAAGAATTTCCAAGTCTATCTCCTTTTGTTTGAGACAGCAGGTGGGATAGCTCGTCAAAATCACACCTCTTGTTTCATCTCCTTGTGAATTTAACTCATTGTACTAAAAGATGTTTTTACTCTGGCTTAAAAGGAGTCAGGTGTCTAGTCTCTACTAGAGCCTCTCGGAAAGGTCCCATGTGTTGTGTGTTAGTTTATTATTTTTAATCCTCACTCCAGACTCAAGAACCATTCCACTCTGCTGGTGGGCTCCGGAAAGCAGGCAAGCATAACATCACTTTTCCTATTGTTCATGTTCGGTGCTGAGAACTGAGCCTTGACCTCACATCTGAGCATGCTCCTACAGGGAGCTTTCCTTCCAGTCCCTCCCCTATTTATTTAATACACTTTTGTTTGTCATCTTCTTCACTGTCTCAATTCATCATCAATTTGTGCATTTCTCACCGAAGTTTATTTGTTTTATCTTGTGTTCTGAGGAGGCAGTGTTACAGCATGGTGCTTTGCATTCAGATATTAATTGCTTGCCCCTGCCCCGAGAGTCTCACTGTTCTACCTTCATGTATTCTAAAGTGATGCCATGTACCTTTGCCTCCCAAATCATCTGTGATTGGCTAAATAAAGCTGCCTATATACCAGGGTTGGCCAGAAATGAAGTAGGTGGAGCTAAGGTTTGCTGCCTTGGAAGACAGGATCACAGGAGGAAGAAGAGATAGATGAAAGCAGGAGAGGAGGGGAAGAAAAAGCAGAGTCATCATGGGTTTGCTTGGAGAGAACCATGTGGTCAGGAGGAGCTACTATGAGGACTGGCATGGCTGAAGAAAGCAAGGCTGGATGGGCAGCCTGTGCAAGTATTTCTGGGATTATAGATGGCAAGTGGCCGAGATAAGAATGGTTAGAGCATGGCATGGGATGTGGGACTGGGAGATAAAAAGATAGTTTAGGAGGTCATTTTCTGCCCAGTTCCAGTGTATAGGCGTATTAAACATCTATCCGGTGTCTGTGTCTTTCATTGCTGTTATAGCACTTAAATAATAACTGTCAAAATAATTATAGGCCATTGATTGTAAATATTGTAAACAGGCTTTGAATATTTTCTACAACAAGGCAAGAATGATTTGCCTTCTGGACATCTACTTTATATTTTTTTTCTATGTCTACTCATACAATTTACTTTACTTTTCTTTTTTTTTAAGTATATATCTATATTTTTTTTATTGCGGGGAAGGAGCAGAAGAGAAAGTAGCCCCTATACTGGGCCCTATTCAGTGGCAGCTTCTTGTTCCATAGGGTTAAGGAAGACTTTGAGGAAAGAAAAGTTGTTTGGAAAAATGCAGGTGTAGTTGCTTTGTATGCTGTGATGGATAGGAGAGATGAAGTGAAGTGTGAAGGTCCCTCACACCCTTCATCTTGCCTCAGACTATGTCCTGGAACCCTGGGGCAGAAAGAGCACCACTTTCATTCTCGCTTCTTGGGGTTGTTGACTGCCACATAGTGAGGGTCACGAGCAAGAAAAGTGACACACCCAGCCTGTTGGCGAAGATGGGGAGCTGCACGTCCATCGGTGGTCATCCTGACCAGCTTCACTTGACTCTGACGCTACCGCCACACAGGTTTCAGGAGCCGGAAGTGCTTAGTCTTACTTTTCTTTTTTTAATGGGCTTATTTGTATGAGCATAATGTCATTAAGAGTTTTCATCATTATCTATGTAACAACTTCCTTAGCGGTTTAACCTTAAATAATATTCTCTTGCTTCTGTGTTTATCTAGTCTTTCTTATTTCACTTGAATTTTAGATTGTTTCTACTTACTGTATTTTATAAATTATACTACAGCGAATATAGGTGTGAGGATCTGTCTATAGTTTCTCACTTATATGAAAAAATATAAATGTGATTAAAAGTCTGCGTACTATAGACACACATCACAAATATAAAAAAAAATGACTCTCAGCTTTAACTCATTATCAATTTTTACTCACCAGGAGCAAAACCCTATACATATAAAGAATATGGGGAAGCCTTTGATTGGAACCCATTCCTTATTAAACACCAGAGAATTCTCACTCTAGTGAAACCCAATAAATGTGAACTATGTTGCAAGGCTTTTAGTGTTCCATCAGTAAACTTTTTCCCTTCAGTACTTTTTGAGGACCACAAATCTCATAGAAGAGAAATTTTTTATTCTGAAGAAAATGGGTCATGCAGGACTGAAATCCTAAAAATGTGAAGTGTAGCAAAAAAGTTTGACTATCCTTCTTGCCCTAAGGATCATCAAAGAATTCATTCTCATGAGAATCCCTAAGAATGTGAAGTATGTGATAAGGCCTTTAAAACTCCATGACAAAATTCTAACCACCTGTGAATCCATTCACAAGTGTGAGCAAATATAGGAAAGCCTTTTGTAATTTTACATAGTTTGCTTAGTACAAATTACTACATACTGAGAAAGAACCTTACAAATGTGAAGAATTTGGGGAAATGTTCCACTTTACTTCAAGCCTTAGGCAATATCAAATAATTCATTCTGGAAATAAGCCCTACAAAATGTGACAAAATGTTTGGTGTGGTTCAGCCCTAGCACACACCTTTACTCTAAGAACTTTCCATTCATTGAAATGTAAACAGGTGGTTATGGTATGGCTCAGCCAGCCCTAGCACACACCATTAATCCAAGAGCTTTTTGTACACAAGATTTAATAAAGTTTTCCCCAGGTAAAAAGGCAAAGCAAGAAACCAGCTGATAGGGATTAAGCAGTAAGGAGGGGTTTTGACAGAATGGAGAAAAAGAAGGGGCTCTTTATCTCTCTGCTTGTTGGCTTTAGCTCTCTAGCTCTTGGACTTTTCGCTGTTGGCTTTCTCCTTTTGGGTTGTTGAACAAGACAGCAGGCTTTTTCCTCCTATGTTGTCAGCTTTTAGCTTTGGGCTTTTGGCCTCTTCCTTCTGGGATGTGAGCTGAGTAGGAAGATCAGCTGGAACTGGCCTCTCTGAGCTAGCAGATTCCCCCCACCCCTCCAGCATCTGGCTCCTTAGTCTTCATTTGTAAAATAGAATGGTTGGATTTTCATTTTTTTTAATAACAACAAACTACACAAGTATGAGGAATATGGCTAAGTATTTTATAGTCACTGAGGACTTTTTAGACAGCAGATAATTCATACTGGAAGCCCTCCAATACAGAAAATGTGACTTCCAAATGTAGTGAAGCCATTTTTATTTTCACTTTATACAAATTTCTAGTCACAATGAATTCCACTGGCCAGAGTCATTACACACACCAGTATGATCCCAGGAGCTGCGTTCTTCCACTTAGGAGAGGAGCAAGGGAGGTGAGCATGAATTCAAACACACCTGGTGGTAAATAATCAATACAGTTTGTGGGAAAGTGGAGTTGAAGTTCTGGTACCTCTCTTACAAAAGCTAAATTTCTTACATGGATTAATGGATGAAAAGTGTTAACCAGGGACTTCCAGATGGAAAGATGTTGAGATAGATTCTGGGAATCTTGTGCAAATAAACGTCAGAGAACTGAACTCTTAACTTTGTTCAATGACTCAAACCATGCGTGGTCCACTTCCTAACACTGTGTGGGTTCCAGTGTTCACAGGAATAGTTTTACCAGCTGCAGAGTCTGATGCGTGTATGGCTCACACAGGGTATCAGTACAGGAGACAAGGATTATTTATGTGTGTGTAGTGCTGAGCCAAAGCCTCCATAGCACCCAAAGGCTTTACCCTAAAGTAGTTCCCTGTCCGTTTTTCTACTTTTTATTTAGAAAGAAGGTCTCTACAATTGTCCAGTCAGCCTTGGATCCCAGGTCCCTCTGCCATAAGCGACTAAGCAGCTAAAAGCACAATCAAGACCACCAAAACTCGTTTGAAAAATCATCTACGTTTTATTCCCACTTCAGTATATAGCTTCTTTATTTAAAAGTAAAACTGAGTCAGTGTGATTTTCTTTTCAGGCTGCGGTAAGATTAAAATGAGAACACTTGACTAGAAAGGACTTGTGAGCCTAATATTTGTGTCACAAGCTCGACTCACATTCGTATTATCTGTTGTGGCTCTGGGGATGAAAACCCGCCTGAATGCCAAGGCTGTCCTGCAGAGGAGGCATCTTCCTCTACTCTACAGCGGGCTGCCTGGGCCAAATCTGGGAACTGCAGAAACCGCCCTACCCAAATACCGGAAGTTCCTTCGCACAGACTTCTGGGAAATGTAGTCTGGTCACTGTGTCGTCACAGGGACCTACTCCGGAAACAGTACTTGTTAATTCTGTCTGAAAGTGTGCTATTTCCCCAAAGTTGGGCGAGAGTCCCGTCCTGCTCAGCTCGCAAATTGCGTCCCTGACATGGAGGTCGGTTCAGGGAGCAGCGCGGCCTGAGGCCCTGGGCGGGGGGCGGGGTCCGCGTAGGAGGGAGCGGAGCTGCGGAGGGCGGGAGACCGGAAGAAGTTGACCTTAGGTCCTGGTCCATAAGGATAACAGGTCAGGGCTGGGAAGAGGGCGTGTCTGTTGGTGCCAACTGATGGTTTTGTTAGCGTTCTGAGCATAACCGAGTCTACCTTGGACTTGTGGGACAGGGGAGCAGGTTCCTTGCGCAGTAGCGGAGTGTGTAAGGGTCAGGATTGCCTGGGCTTGGTGGATCAGCTGACTACCTGGCCCTTAGGTGGTGCTGGGAATTCACTTTCCGCTTGGCTGGGGAAACATTCTGTAACTAGGTGACCCACTCTCAGATGAATGTTGATGGTTTTTCTATACATCTAGAGTAGGTGGGTTTTCTGCATTTCATGTGATCCACGACAGATAATTGTCTTGGTCGTGTCAGTCATTTGATGAATGAAACGGAAAACGATCTGAGACCCCAAAGGTAGCAGCTGGTAAAATCTGGGACAATGTAGACAACACGGCAGGAATCAGCAGGTAAAGAAAAGTGTTGACAGCTGGGTGCGGTGTCACACTCCAGTAATGCAAACAGTCAGGGAGGCAGAGGCGGGCATATTGCTGTGGGTTCGAGGCCAACTAGGTCTACAAAGTGAGTTGAGGGACAGCCAAGGCTACAAAAAGAACCCCTTTTTCAGAAAAAGGAAGAAGGAAGGAAGGGAGGGAGGGAAAGGAGAGAGAAAAAGGAAGGAAGGAAGGAAGGAAGGAAGGAAGGAAGGAAGGAAGGAAGGGAGAAAAGCTTTGACTAGGGGTGGTTTGAGGCCAACTAGATCTACAAAGTGAGTTGAGGACAGCCAAGGCTACAAAAAGAAACCCTTTTTCAGAAAAAGGAAGAAGGAAGGAAGGGAGGGAAAGGAGAGAGAAAAAGGAAGGAAGGAAGAAAAGCTTTGACTAGGGGAGAGGGAACACAGTGCAGAGGACACACGGAGAGAAGGAACCACTGCAAAGCCGAATGAGGCCTGGGGAAGCTGATGCCCAGCTTCACCTTGAGCTCTGGAGTTGTTTAAGCCTCTGAATGTCTCTGCCCCCAAGTTATGGTAATTACTTTCAAGACAGAATGACTGCTTGGCACACAACTGTTGTGTAAACATGCCTTCATCTGGCCTTGAACATGTTAAGTCAATCCATCAGCTGGTGCCCCGGGAGCAGGAAAACAAAACAGAACAAACACCTCACCTTGTTTTAGGCTGCCAGGTTTCTGTGTCAGGTCAGCAGGCCTGTGTGTAATCATGTGACTTAAACAGCCCTCATTCCCACTCCGGGATTCTTCTTGACTGATGCAGTCCACAGCTGAGTTACACCCCCTCCCTGCTTCTCTGCCTGTTGGGGCCCTCTCCTTCCTTACACTACAGCTTAACCTGGGTGTGGAATGCTTCTCTACAGTTAGCCAAAGCAGGACCCCTACTCTGCATGTGGGTAATGACAGCCATGGCCTCCACTGCATTTTCAGGTGGTATTGTGTCATCCAAACAGCAAAACAAAGTGCCATTCCTTCCTCTTTCATGGTGAGTAGTGTAGTACCCTATGGTGTCCTGCCTGTTCCTTCTAGGAGCTTTTCCTTGCATGCTAATGTTTGTGTAAGTGAGGATATGAGGGAGAGTTACTGGTTTTCACACACTCGTGTACTAACCTTGCTGTGTTACATAGGCCATTTCTTGGAAAACTCTGAGGGGAAGTATGCTGGATAGTGTCACTCAGTTCCTGGTCATCTGTATGACTATGTCAGAGACCACTGAAAGAAATTCTAGACGTCATTTGAACAGAAATTGAATAGAAACCAAACGCATAGGTTTGAGCATCACAGATTTTCATTACTTTGTCTTTTGGGGTTATAAAACTTTGTCACTGATTCCAGCCAAATATTTTCAAATCAGTGACATTTTGAGTTGAAAAGTGTGTTTGGGTTGGTTGGCCAATGCTTTAAATTCTGCACCCCATTGTTCTTTTCTTTGTGGTAGCTACATAAAAGTAAGTCGGTGGATGAAGGTTGAGTCCCAACTGTGTGCTGGATATCCAAAAAATCTTACTATTTATTATATTTTTTTCAGTAAACACATTGCATATACTCTTTTATGTCATTTTTAGTGTTCCAATTACAGTATCTGAGTCATTGTATTGTAAAAACGTGTTACTATAAAGCAAAAATTAATGATTGCTGTGTGCCACAGTTATGTGTGCCAAAGGTTGGGACAGATCAGTACACTGTTACTTAAGGGTGCCTTTAGTGTGTTTCTAAAGCAGTATGTTCAGTAATTGATGGATAAGCCCGGTCTGAATGGAGAGTCATTAGTGTTTTGAACCTGGTCAGTAATACAGTCCTCGCTTTGCATCTAGAGTTGGTTTCCCCACAATCTCGTAGGACTGAAGTTTGTCTGGCTTCTGTCAAAAACTATCCCTGAGGAACAGTATCACAGATACAGGAGTGCTTATGAGTATAGCTATGTCCACTCTCTTGTTAGGCTTGTCTCTAGGACCAGCTTCTCTCTAAGGTGAGAACAACTGGAGTCCCAGTTCAGGATTAGAACGACTTTGCAGCAGTGTTCAGTGAGTCACAGTGTATCCCCCTCTGGCCAGACTGTATTTGTATTTCCCCTCCACAGGAAGTGAACATTGCCAGTCTCAAGTTCCCCTGAACTCTTGGCTTTAATTATATTGGTTAAAATCCCAAGTAAATGAGATGGTGGTAGCAGGCCTTCTGCCCTCCCCTCACAGGAAGCCCACACTGATGAAAGTGGACTGAGACAGCAGACACTTCCATGTGAGGAACAGCAGTGGCCTGTGATGGGCAGCATCAGAGAGTGATCCTGGCAGTCAGTTCTCCATCGGATCTGCTCTGGTTTTCTCAGGAACAGTGTTCCCACCTTGCCTCTGCCCTGGGTTCCTACTGTTGTCCATGTTGAACATTTTCTCTGCTGTCTGGATCTCAGAGGTAAAGAAGAATGGAACCTATGGTTCTCACTTACTTGTAAATGTGGAAAGTGTTCTGCTAGCTACAAAGACGCTTTCAACAGAGTAATTGCATTTTCCTTGAAAAATGACAAGGTTTTCTATTTGCCAACTTCTTTTAGTCTACTTATGACTTGGGAATCTATTGGCCTCCTCACTGCTGCTTCACTTTACCCTTATGATTAAAAACTTTTTTCCAGTTTAATCTTTCTTTACAAAGTGTATGTTTCCTACATACCAAAAGTCATTTGACTATAGCTCCTTCCAGCGCTGAAAACAGCTTGCACTTCAACACAAGACTCAGGATTGTAGCTGGATCTGACCTGAAGGTCTCCTACCTAAGGACGAGGTTTCACAGTGCTAGAAGGTGTTTTGCAAGCTTCCAAGGGAGAGCGCATTAAGTCATCCTACTTAGCCGTAACACCAGTGAACCACAGCAATGACCAGTATGGCCAGGTATCTCTAAAGGTGCCACAAGTGCCACTCACATCTTGGCAAAAACAGCAGCTAAGGCCTGATAAAGAGCCTAGGCAGATACTCATAGTTAGTGCATGGATATTAGAAGAGAATATATGTCTGGAACATAAGGTCATGGAACTTCAAAGAGATCTTGATTGGAGTTAGGAGAGAGATTTGGAAATGTCATAATTATATTTTATTTAAATAATATTTTAGAAGAAAAGGGATAAAATCATGTAAGTTATGAAGATATGGCTGAAACTGGAAATTATTCCAGGCACAGAAAGACCTGTATCACTTGATTTCATTCATATGTTAAATGCATAGAGTTGTAACTCCCAGAAGTTGGAAATATAATGGTTTTTCTCATTGGCCATTGACATCGGAAAGCTGAGGCTTGAGAACATACTAAACTTTGATGCTCTGAAATAAACTTCACAGTACTATTGTCCTGAATGCTGGACATATGTAAACATGTGTACATTTCAGAAGCATGTAAGACAACATTTTTGACATTTTAATAATAAAAATTATGATTTGAGGATATTAACATACTAAAACTGTTGGAAAAATTGCAAGGTTTATCTTCAAAATTATAGCAAAACTATTAATATAGAAATCTCTTCTTTTTTCAGTAAAAGGGGGGATAGAATATGATTTCTCTCAAGTAATTTTGGGAACTTATACAATAATATAAAAAAATAAACTCTGAAATATTGTAAATTTAAAAATAAGAAAAAAAATTACCATTGCTCTCCTAGTCACTGTTCTATTGCTGTGAAGAGAACATAACAACATATAAAACAGAACATTTAACTTAAGGCCTGCATATAGTTTCAGATGGTTAGTTCGTGATCAGCATGGCAAAGAGCATGGCAGGCAGATAGATACGGTGCTGGAGCAGTATGTGAGATCATACATCTTAATCCACAGATGGGGGTTGGGGGGAGACAGACAGATAGGCAGGCAGACAGACAGACAGTCAGACTGGGCCTAGATTGGGCTTTTGAAGACTCAAAGCCCAACTCCATGAACACACCTCTTCCTTTTTAAAGTAGGGCCATACCTACTTTAAAAAGGCCACATCACCTAATCTTTCCCAAAGAGTTCCACTAACTGTGGACAAAGTATTCAAATAGATGTGCCTATGGGGGCCATTTTCATTCAGTCACACAACCACCAATTACAATTCTTGGATATAATACAGTGAGACACAGGTATCAGATGTTGAAGACATGTTTTAGGAATATATCAAACATTCTCTGAGAAAAAATGGAAAAGAGAAATGACAAGAAGATGAGAGTGATGTTTAGTGTATTTGAAATACTCAAGAAAAGTGTTGGTATTCCTATATCTGCTGGGTTTTAATTTGTTCTGATACCTAAATTATGTCATGTCTGTGAGTTCTTCATTTTTGTTGTTGTTGTTTTATCCCTTGGCTGCTCCATCTTGTGTCTCTTGGTGAACTGTCATTAGGATCACTACTGAAGCCTGTACAAATTAAGCAATCCAGACCTCAGTCCAGAACTGCTGCATCATTTCTATTACAGTGATAGTTTCTATTATAATGATAAGTACTGTGAACAAAGCAACTTGGAGAAGAATGGATTTATTTCAACTTAGAACTTCAGGTAACAGGCCATCACTGAGGGAAGTCAAGACAGGAATCTGTAGGCAGGAACTGGACCATAGGTCATGAAGGAACACTGTTTACTAGTTTGCTGTCTGAGACTTGCTCATGCTGCTTTCTTCCACCATCTAAGACCACCTGCCCAGGGTTTGCACCACTCACAATAGGCTGTGTTGTCTCATATCAGTAATAACAGACTCCTAAAGGGTTGCATACAGGAATGTGGAATGCACATTCTAAATTGACGTTTCTGCTTCTCAAATTACCCTAGCTGTGTCACCCTGACAGAGAACTAGACCCACAATGTCTATAATTGATTGAAACTGTGGTATAATTCATTGACCTTCATTTCATTTCAGGATATGCTGTCATTTTGGGATGTGGCCATTGATTTTTCTCCAGAAGAGAGGGAATGTCTGAACTCTGCCCAATGGAATTTGTATAGGGATGTGATGTTGGAGAATTACAGCAACCTTGATTTCCTGGGTGAGGATCACTTTCATAGTGAATTCTTATTTCACTGTTAACATGTGACTTTCTTATTCTATACATTATCTCATGGGAGCTTGTCCTTTCCAATAGCAAGTTTGATATTCTTGGTTTTAAAGAAAAATTAGGGAATACGTTTAGCTGAGAAACATTGCTTTCACTTTTGTATGTTTAGCCTGTCTGTGTTGGAAGAATGCATCCTTTACAGTAGTGGGGATGTTAGAAACCCTGTTGCAATAGGCATATATCTTACACATTAATGAAAATGTTTCACAATTCAGTTTTAATGCCGTTCTCTTTAAATAAAACTCACTCTTGGCATTGTAAATGTCTTTATATATTGTAATGATCCTGTCAGAAACCATTTAAGGTACTAATTGTGTGCAATCATTTATTGCATCATGTCTTTCCTGATACACACTGTGCTAGAATAAACATGTCAATTCCCAATAGAAGAACACACAGTCTTGTTCCCTTTTTTTTACAAACAGGTCTTACTGTCTCTAAGCCATATCTTGTGACATTTCTGGAGCAAAGACAAGGGCCTACGGGTGTGAAGAGACAAGAGGCAGCCACTGTGCATCCAGGTGTGTAGGAAAGAAGGGATCAGAGGACAGCGTTGAGGTCCAAAGATCCAACAGAAAGCCAGGCTTTACCATACGCACTGAGACACAATGCTGTCTTAAAAATCATACTTGGGTTTTTCGGTTTTGGTAGTATGTTTGTTTGTTTTGTGTTTTGGTGTTTTTTTTTTTTTGGCTTTTTGAGACAGTGTTTCCCTATGTAGCCTTGGCTATCCTGAACTCACTTTGTAGATCAGGCTATCCTCCAATTTACAGGGATCCACCTGCCTCTCTCTCCCAGATTGCTGGGATTACAAGATTACAGCCACTGTGCCCAGCTTATCTTTTTTCTTTTCTTTTTTTCTTACTTCTTTCACACATCCTCCCTCCCTTCTTTCTTTCTTTTGTTCTGTTTTGTTTTGAGATAGGGTTTCTCTGTGTAGCTTTGGCTGTCCTGGAACTCACTTTGTAGACCAGGCTCACCTCAAACTCACAGATATCTACCCACCTTTACCTCCAGAGTATTGGGATTGTGCCATTATTTCTGTATTCAGTTTGTTCAGGCTGTTACGTCAATAGAAGTTTAGATTATTTCCATCTACTATATTTTCTGAATTATTCTCAGTGAATATAGATGTAGAAATATAGTGTTGTTTGATGTATCAATAATGTAAGAATGAGTAAATTTCTCCATTTAAAGATAAGCATTATAAATATAAAGAATGTACTAAGCTTTTGTTCATATCTGAACTTTTGGTCAACAGGAAGAACACTCAATAAATGTAAAGATTACAGCAAGGCCTTTTATTGTAATTCACTGCTTATTCAATGCCAGAGAATTCTTCCAGGTGAGAACCCCTACAAGTGTGAAGAATGTGGGAAGGCCTTTCGTATTCCCTCAAGACTTTCTACACACCAGAGAATTCATACTGGAGAAAAGCCCTACAAGTGTGAAGAATGTGGGAAGGCCTTTAATACTCATTCAAAACTTTCTGAACACCAGAGAATACATTCTGGAGAAAAGCCCTACAAGTGTGAAGAATGTGGGAAGGCCTTTAGTGCTCGCTCAACCCATTATAGACACCAGAAAAATCATTCTGGGAAAAAACCATACAAGTGTGAAAAATGTGCTAAAGTATTTTCTTACCCTTCACTGCTTAAGGTACATCAAAGAGTTCATTCTGCAGAAAAATCCTACAAGTGTGAAGAATGTGGGAAATTATTTTACTGTCCTTTATTGCTTAAGAAGCATCAAATAATTCATTCTGCAGAGAAACCCTACAAGTGTGCAGAATGTGGCAAAGCATTTCATTATCCTTCATTGCTTAAGCGACATCAAAGAATTCATGCTGGAGAGAAACTCTACAAGTGTAAAGACTGTGACAAGGCATTTTACTCTTCTGCATTCTTTAAGCGTCATGAAAGGATTCATTCTGAAGAGAATTCCTACAAGTGTGGAGAATGTGGCAAAAGGTTTTATTCTTTTCCACACCTTCAGGATCACCAAAGATTTCATTCTGGACAGAAACCATACAAATGTGAACAATGTGGGAAAACATTTTCCACTCTCTCATACCTTCCTTGGCACAAATTACGTCATTCTGGGGAGAAATCTTACAAATGTGAAATATGTGGCAAAATGTTTTACTCTACTTTAGACCTTAAAAAACATCAAAAAATTCATGCATATAAGTGTGGGGAATGTCAGTATACTTTTCCTAATTACTCAGCCCTTACTGCACACCAGAGAGTTCATACTGGAGAGAAACCCCACATATGTGAACAATGTGGAAAAGCCTTTTCTAGGCTTGATAGCCTCAATCAGCACCATATTGTTCATACTGGAGAGAAACCTTATAAATGTGAAGAGTGTGGCAAATGTTTTTTCCGGTCTTCATCCCTTAAAAGACATCAAGGAATTCATTCTTAATAGAAACTTGACATGTGTGCATTCAGACCTTACCCAAGATAAATGAATCCATTAAGTTGAGAAGCCATGTGCATGTGAAGAATGGTGAGTGCTTTGGCATGGAGTCAACACTTTCTACCATCATTAAAGTTCATTCTGCAGAGAAACTGTCCAAATGTGAAGGAAATGACAGGCTTTTAATGTCTCTTCATATCTTAAGTAACAATGATCTTCATCCTGAACCTCAATGCTATCATGTAAAGGATGTGGTGAAGATTTCAGTTATCCATCAGTCTTGGATCAACATCAGGAATTCACTCCTGAGTGAAACTCTACTCATTTGCAGAAAAGGACCAGGGCCTAGCTATTCCTTATGTCTATATAAGCATCACATAGTTTATTCTAATGAAGAAGCCTATGAAAGCAATCAATGTGGCATGCTCTTTCCATGTTCTTCACACTGTACTTACCTGCAGAAACTTCATACTACAGAGATTCTACACATACAATTATTGTCCCTAAGCCTTGAACAATACTTCAGTCTTCAGTAACACCAAAACATTTATATAGGTGAGAAATCCTGAAGGTGCAAATGTCCTCCTTAGCTTCAGCTGTCAACTTCACATGGCAAGCATTATCTGAATTTGTGAATTCCTGGATCAGCGTGCCTTAGGACATGAATGGGGGTCATTTTCTTGATTGTTAAGTCATGTAGGAGCATCCATCCAGGACAAGCAGAACTCTCTTGAGGAGGTGTTCTTGGGTTACATAAGAATCATTGGTGAGCTGAGGAACATGTCAGGAAGCATAGTCTCTGCTTCACTTCCTGCCCTAGCTTCCCCGGAAGAGAAACAGAGACCCTTATGTTGAAAATATTTCTTCCCTGAAGTTGTTTTTGGCCATGCCATTCATGACTCCAACAAATCAATGTAGGAAAACAAAGAACATGGGAGGCATGTCCTTCCTCTTCATACCTCTGTTGCTATCAGACTTTCTACTAGAGACAGTGTCACAAAGCCTCTAGATGTGTTCATCCTCTACTGGACACCAGGATTTTTATATTGCAGAAAAGAATATGACAAAGAATTTTATGTTTCCTTATTTAACACCAAAAATTTCATACTGTAGATGAACTTTGTAAAAGCAAAGACAATAGCTACATGTTGAATAATTGTTCCAAACTCAGTGTGAAAAATTTAGATATGAATGAAACTAAGACATTCAGTTACTAAGAGAATCTGTGTGTTCTATTCTTTACACTATAACATCAGAAAAACATTTTTTTTTTTTTTTTTTTAGGAAATCCTACAAATTAGACAGTGTGACAAAGCCTTAACTAAGTTCATGCCTTAGGGCCCAGTATGAGTTCATATTGTAGAGAAACCTACATACAATGAGTCTGGTAGGATCCTTTTCTAGTATACACATACCTCATAACAGCAAATAAAGCAATGCTAATATCAATAGTGTAACAATATCTTTTCTTAGAACTTACATAGTAATGGATTTTATGGAAGTGTAGTACACACATACTACTAATACAGAGTGTGGATAAACAACATGAGGCATTGCTTACAAATAATATGATGTATTTGACGTGATTGAAAGAAGTCATTACATCAGAATCCTGTAGAATGCTCAAGTCTGAAGATATCAATCTGTTATATAACCAAATCAATACATGACCAAGGATATTGGAGATGCAGGAGTATGAGGCAAGGACAGGGTCTGCTGAAGAAATGGGCTGACATAGGACAAAGAAAATTAGTCCTGCCAGCAGAGCCAGGCATGACTTCCTAAGCCATTTGGAGTCAACCGCATTTTATCAGAGCTACCACCCCACCCCCTGCATGCCAAAGTGGAGCTGTGTGATTGGGAGTTTCTCATGCTGGAATTTTGGTTTTGGTCTGATCATTCTTTGTTCTCTGATTATTCTGTTTTGGAATGGACATGTTTATATTGTATGTTGGAATGTATAGTTAAGTTTTTATTTTAGAGGAGGTCAGAATGAAGAGATTGCCCTGAATCTTGGATAAAGCGTGGATTATGGTCTTTTCAACTCATGAAATTGCTAACTCAATTATGCTCTTTGACAGCTGGACTCTAGTTGACTTAGGGGATGAATATAAGACTTGGTACTGGGAAGGAACATTATGATTAAAGTGATATAGCTGGGGCCAGTATAGATGTCTCAGTGGGTTAAATGTACTTTGCAACAATCCTGATGACTGGAAAAGTTCCCCAGTACCCACACAATAGAGAAGGAAGAAACCAACTCCTGAAAGTGGCCTTTTGACCTGCATGCATTGTTCCACACTGACAGACGTATATACATGCACATATAATAAACTTAAAACATGTTTTTAAGGTGTGTTTGAGTTCCGGTAACAAGGGGTGGAGAAATGATCAGTTGAAAATAGATTAAATCTAGAATCCCAGATAAGCTTCAGGGCATTCCATTAAAGGGTTTATCTTGATTAGTTTAATTCATATCAGAAGTCCTGTTGATAGTGGGTGGACAGGTAGATCCCATTTGTTGTTTGGGATCCTTGATTGTAAAAGGAGAGAGTCAATGGAGAGCAACCTGTATTCATCTACCTCCTGCTGTTTCCTGACTAGGGAGACAACATGAGCATCTGCTTCAAGTTTGTGCTGTCTTAATTTTCTCACCATGGTAGATGGTAACTTTCAACAACAAGCAATATTAAACCCTTTTTCCTATAAGTTGCCCGTGTCTGGTACTTTATGATAGCTACAGGAAGTGTTACTTAGACTACATGACAAGTAAAAGTATCACTTTGACATTAACACGTATGCATCAGTATCTTCTACCTGTTTCCCCTTTTATTCTCAGGCTACTCCCTTCTGATTACCCCTTTCCCTTTAAAAATGTTACCTTGCTTCTTATACATGTAACAACACCACACAGTCACCAAGATGTAGCATCAGTGTAGACATAAGGTTATTGTGTAACTCAAATGCTGATTCCTGCACATGTCCCCCATCATATCTGGTTGCAGTCTTTGTTCTGAGAAGCTTGCCTCAATGTTGTGTAAACACTCTTCCCCAATTGTCCCCTGATATGCCAACAAAGCAGCTTATAGCCAATTGTTGAGCAGAATAGGGCTGGACTTCCTGCCAGCCAGGGGAGCAGGAGTTGAGGAAGAAGGTCCAGGAGACATTAAGAAATAGGACCTACAGCAGGAAAGCCACAAAGTAGAAGTATGTCTGTGACATATGCTGGGAGGAAGCCAGATTAGTTTAGAGAGTTCAGAATAGGGTAGTAACTGCACAGGTATTGTGCTGTGAAGCTTGTTAAAATGATATAGTAGAGTCTCAACTATTTGTGCGATAGCCAGGTTAAGAGAGAAATTAAGAAACAAACACGGTTTTATAAAAATAACCTTAGCACATCAGTAGAGCCTATGTGCAAATGAATGTCCTTTTTCCTTTTTCAGTTAAAATTTGAATGCCTTATGTGGTTTGAATGTATGTGCATTGTGTTTGTGCTGTTAGTTACTATGATGACTCACTCATTGGTTGTCACCATGGCCTGCCTTGGCATCAGCTGAATCCTAAGCTTCTGAGCACCCTTAAAAAGGGATTTTCTTATTCATATTGTATTGAAAAGAAAGACTACCCTAAAGCTAGTCCATACCTTTTAGTTGGATAAAAGTATACTGACGAAAGAAATTTTGCTTTCTCACTGCTTGCCCTAAGTCTCCATCCACTTGGAGTCTTTATTAAATCCAACATCTTCTGGATTCCAACATAGACTATAAAACCAGCAACTCTTTAAGTATACGGAATTCTTCAGCACCAGATTGGAACTGCAGAGACATCCAGCCTCCTGTACTGAGTAAACGAAAAGGTTCATTCACTTTTCATAGTGAAACCAGTACTACTGGAATACCTAGACTACAACCTGTAAGGCAGTTTAATAAATTCTCCTTACTACTTAACTTCCCACTGTCCTATTCCTTTAGAGATCCCTAAAACCATTGTTATTTTGATATTTTTGCATTCACAATATTAAATTAATGTTTGTCATCTAGTTTGAATATTTTGTGTGTGTGCAGGATGAGAGACATAGCTTTAGTTTCGTTCATCTTCAGGAGCATATCTAGTTTTAACAACAGTATTTGTTGAAAAGGCTGTCAGTTCCAGTACCCAGATTTTATACTTTTGTCAAAATTAACATGTCCATTGCATTAGCATTTATCCTTGGGTCTTACTTTACATTGCATTGTCTATATGTTTGTTTTTAATTAATCTCATTCAGTCCTTCTCACTATAGCTTTGTAGTAGGGTTTGATATCAGCTAAAAAGATATACCTGACTGTCTTTTCTCTTATCATTGCTTTTATTATCTCTGTTCTTTTATGTTCTGTTTTCTTTTTTCCTAGTTCTATGGTGACTAATATTATGGAAAGTCAGAAACAAGTGTGTGGCTACTGAAGAGTGTATTTAGGAGTAACAGATTAAACAATGTATAAAGTGCACAAAAGAATTAAGATTTCAAGCAAGATGTCCAAGGATAGTCAAAATTGCTGGTCATGCAAGCCTTAAGACATGGTTTTGAACAACAGAATCCATGTAAATGTGTAAGATGAGTGGCGGGCTGGAGAAGTGGCTAAGCAAACACAAGTATAGTCAGATCCAGATGGACCTTACTCTTTGAGTACCAACCTCAGTTTGCTCAGAGACTCCTACAGATTTCTGTCTATTAGGGTCATGTGAAAGCCAAGGTCCAAAGTGAGATACAGTAACTAAGATAAAAAGCATTTCTGAGACTCACTACCAGGAAACTATTACTGATGTATATGGTTTTCAAGCTCAGTTGCCAGAGGGCATGAATATTGAAATGATAGGCTCGAGAATCATCTAGGAGACAAATTTTCTGGTAATATCTGTCAGGAGACTTCTATGATAGATTAATAGGCAAGACCTCTCTAAATGTGTATGGCTTCATTTTATGGGAATGGTTCCATGACCCTATAAACAGTGCCTTATAGAAGCGTTCACTGTTCCCTTCATCATGACAGTACATGCAAATTTTTTCTGAAGTGAAATATCCCAACCTAGAGGTGGCCTCATTCACCCTCAAGAAGTACATCAGAAGTAGGTGTAGTGGAACTTCAGTAGAATCAGACAAACAGATAAACATGGAGACTATCTAGACATTTACATTGTCCCTCCTTACAGTCTGTATGTAATCATTGCACGGAACAGTGCAGGTGATAGCTAAGTTTCATTGGAGCCCTACCGTGTACCCATGTCAGAATCGAGACTGTCTACTGATAAACCCTGCTTGAAAGGGAAACAGCTAACCTAAAACAAGACCTATCCCTCCTTCATATCACAGAGATGGTGTTTGGGGCTGCCCAATTCTTGGTAGTCTAGACCATTTTATAGGGGCCTCAGAAGCCAGGTATGTGATGCTATAGCATTTGAGTGTTCCCCCTGCTTTTATGTCTTACTTTGTTCCATTATTTCTTTTCTAGATTGCTTTGTTGGGCGTAGATGAAATTTAATCCAGCAACATGGCTGCTCTGGCAAGGGATCACATCCAAATACCTAGGTCTGTGTGATCAATCTAGAATGCAGACAGGCCACACAGCTTTATTCCCTCTGGCTAGAATACAGATACGACCTTAGTATGCATCTTTAAGATAAAATTAGTTTGTAGAAGAAAGTATCCATGCAGTCAGACATAGGATATGCCCAACTCTCACAAGAACAACACAGTAAAGAGAAGCAATTTAAGAGTAGTGCAGGTAGAGAGAGGCAGGTCTGTTCAGTTAGTTGGGAGTCAGTACAGTGATTGTAGTGCAGTGGAGTTGAGTTCATTTGTGAGTTAATGCAGTCAGTGTAGGTCAGCAAAAGCAGCTGAAGCCGGAGAAGAAGGAGCCAGAAGATTAAAACACATTTCCATAGTTAGTTTGAGTCCAAGCAGAACAATTAGTGAGAATCAAAGAGAAGCCAGCTTGAATCAGTCTTCTTGGAGAGGAGTTTGAGCCAGAACAGCTGAGTTGAACCAGCCAGCCAGAGTTCAGAAAGAACTAAAAAGGGTAGATTATTCAGCAGTAAGCCTCTGAGATGACAATACATCTGGCAAATAAAACTTACATTTACAGTTGGAACTATTAAAGTCTATGGGGACATTTAGAGAAGGACTAAATGATATACCTAGTAAAAGATGAAAGCAAAATTGGATGGTATAAGGGTAGAAGATTATGGCTTAAAATGAGTATTAGGTTCCTGAATTCCAAGAAGCTCATTTGATATTTCTGTGAATATATTTCTAATATCTTTGTACTCAAAGAAGAATCAAGACTGTGCATATTTTATCTTGGGAGAGGGACAGCGGTGGTAAGCATGAGCTCAGAGAAGACCTGATGGTTAATACTTGCCTGAGTTGTGAAAACCTAGGGAAAATGTTGCTGAGTTCTAGTAAAATCTCACAAAAACTTTTTACGTAGATTAATGGATGAAGATATGGACAAAGGACTTACAGACAGAAAGATCCTGCAATGGATTCTGGGAGGTCTTTGCTAGTAATATCAGAGTGCTGGACTTTAACTTTGTTCAACCTCCAACTCATATGGATGACAATGTTCACATGAAAACTGTTTTTCCTGCTGTTTTGTCTGATCTTTGTATGAATCCTAGTTGAATTTTAGAAGAGCCATCGCATCTGGCATTTACTCCAGAGTGATGGCTCTTAGGCCTTGTGGTAATCTCCTGTGAATAACCGAAGATTGTTTTCTTAGATTCATGGAATTGTTGTTCCTTGGGAATTTCAGAACAGTAGCATGACCTCAGTTATAAAACAATCCTGGCAAATCCAACATTCTTATAATGGTTGTGACTGCTTAGGTAATGGTTCCCTAAGACAACTCCTAGATCAGATATGAGGTTGTGGTATGTGGGAATTGACTTGCTTAAAAGCCATTTGTGTAAGAATCAATAAAAGACCTTCTGCAAAGCTCCTAGGCAGTCAAACCATAAGAAGCTGATTCATCTAACACTTTTTCTAAAGCTTATCATTGCAGTGTCTCTCTTTCTCAGACCATCTTGCTAACTCACAACACTGACAAGGGCTCACACAGGGTGTCAGCGCAGGAGAACTAGGCTTCCTTATGTATGTGCAGTACTGGGTATTAAGCCAAAGCTGCCACTATTCTAGGCTAGTGCTTGGTTCCCCTAAGGAAGCTCTCTCTGTTTTTCTACCTTGGATTTTGAAACAGAGTCTCAATAGCTTCCCCCATCAGCTTTGGTTTCAGGGTTCTTCTGCCATAAGCTCCAGAGCAACTGGAAGCATAAGCAAGAACATCAAAAGGGGTTTCAAAATCATTTTAAAAGATAACTGTTTTAAAAAGATAACCCTCATCCCCACATTAGGTTACTGCTTCCCTTATTTCTGAGTACAACTGGACCAACCTGATTTTTCCCTCCCTCTTTGTTTTGGGGACAAAGTCTCACTTATGGCTCTGACTCTCCTGTCTCTTCCTCCCAAGTGACTAAAGGATCATTCCAGAACACCTAGCAAGTTCACTTCTGTTCAAGATTTACTAACATTTTGTAATAAGTAGACTGAAGACTAAAATCACAACGTAATGATGAAAGACATCTTGTAAACCTAGTAATTGTGTAAAGGCTGGATTCACAACCATCTTTTATTAAGAATCTGGATTGTTTGTTTGTTATGTGTTTTAAGACAGGGTTTCTCTGTGTAATCTCAGTTGTCCCTGGAGCTCAGTATGTAAACCAGCCTGTCCTGAAAATCACAGAAGTGCCTGCACCTGCTTCTCTGAGTGCTTGGATTAAAGGAGAATATCACCACCACTACACGCTGTGAATCCTGAATTTTAAAATCAGTCTAACAACCTGCTTTTGCTCTCCATCCTCTGTGACAGCTAAGGAAAACTTCATTTTGTGCTAGGCACCCACTAAACTCCTAAAAGATTAGCTCCCAGCCACTTTTCCTCCTCCCCAAAATTGTAAACATCTTGTGAAATGATTAACGCTTGCTCTGGTTTCTGTAAACTAGCTTATTGCCACCTAACTGGGAGTGAAGCAGCTCCTCAAAGAGATGTAAATTCCATGGAAATGAAGTAAATGTGACCTTTGCCTTTTAACTCCCTCCTCCTCCTCTAATCTGGGTCACGAGAACTGAGGGAAGCTGCATCTTACATAAAAATTCGGCTCATTACAACTGGATACAGTTCGTGGTCTCCGTGTTTCCAAACTACAGACATCAGTAGGGGAAAACCAGGACCTGTAGAAATTGCACTCCCTGGCCGCGCACAGACTTGTGGGAAATGTAGTCACCGTGACGTCACAAGTCAGTAGAGTTTGGCTTTTGGTAAGCTTGTGCAGATCTTCCCCAAAGTTGGATCTGGTCCTGCTCGGCTCTACAGGTGGATCTCGGACATGGAGGTTGGTCCAGGGTTCAGTGCAGCCTGAGGGACTGCGCGGGGTGAGGAGGACCGGAGGGAACAGGCAAGGGTGGAATGGAGGCAGGAAGGAGCTGACCTGTAGAAGCTTTGCTGAAGCCAGGGGACATCAGGATTCTGGTCACTGCTGGGGAGAAGGCGCTGTGTTAGAATGTATCTGTCTGCCTTGTCTGCCTGAATCAAGGTGTGCTTCTGGGACAGAGAAGCTGGCTCGGTACTTCAGGAATGGAAAAGTTTGGAAGAACCAGGATCGCTGGGCAATGTGGGTTGCTGAAGGTCTTTGGACTTAGTGCTGGGTCCTAAGTTTCCTCTTGGTTGTGGAAGCATTTGTTCCTTAGTGAGGCCACTCCCACAAGGCTGTTACTGGATTTCGCAGTACATTTCCACGAGGGGAGATCTGGTCCTTCTGTACACAGTTCAAGAATACCGAGAAAGACCACCAAACAAAACTAGCAATTAAAAGATAAAAAGAAATCCAACTAACCAACAAAAACCGCTTTATTTAGAGACAATCTCCTTTGCCAACTTGAGATCTGCTGCACAAGGGAAGCCGGGCTGGAATTTAAGGGGCACAAACCACAGCTGCCTCAGCTTTGGGGACTGTCTGCTACATAAGGCATGTTATGTTTTTCGTTTTCTGAGCAAGCAGCAGTTAAGAGATATTACAGAATAAGAATGCACATCTGCTTAATATTTTAGGATAATTACACAGCAGGGGAAGGGGGACAATTCTGGGATGAACCATGTGGCACTGAGACCAGCTGTCAAGCTTACCAGCCTTAGGCTGAGAGTAAAGTCCTGCTGACTCCCGGGTTTGTTGTTTGTTTTCTTTGTTTTTGTTGTTTTACACGGCAGCTTAGTTGGAAATGAAGCTAGTTTTTAACCGTTGCACATGTAATTATTCTTGTCTTGCTTTGAGTTGACAGAAGTTGCGAGGTTTTCCCGAGTCCGAGTTCTGTAGGGAAGATTGGTGTATATGTTTATCCCACTGTGGAATGAATTGTGGATTTAAGGACAGTTCACTTGGAATAGGCATCCCTCCTTGAAATGGTTTAATTCCTTGATCGAAAGTGGCCTGACACCCATGTGTGCTATGAGGATACTGAGCTGCTTCTCAATGGAGGATTAATTAAAGTCTCCTTGGTAAAACAGAGATAGAACATTTGCCTCAGGGGCTGTAACCTGAGGGCTTGTAGCCTTAGGTGTTTGGAAAATATGGGGTTGTAAAACCGAGCACAAACAACACCAGAGATGCCTAATCTTAAGATTGCAGCCATGCTGCCTATTCAGTTGGCTGACCATTGGCCAAACTCTTTTGTAAAAATGTGCAGTTCTGCTGTTATGGTTTTTGTGAGCGTGCGGTCTGTCCTGATTGGCTAACCTATGGTTGAACCTGGCATCTATATTCCCTGTACGTTCTCTGTGCATTTAGATATCATGACTGCTTCAGTCTTGCCTACCAGAGGGACTGTAAGTATGGCCCTGCCATGAGTAAAATTATCCTTCAACATCTCAGTGTTAACTTCTGGTTTTGAATACCATAACACGTCTACTCCTGTGAGCTGAACCCTCACACGAACAATCCCACAGGGAGGCAGAATAGTGCCATAAAGGGGATCAGCTGGGCTTTGCATTGTCCCAGCAATGTTGACCTTTCAGGCGAGATAAAAAATAATAGAAGCTAACTAGTCACCCTGTTCCATCAGAGTATGATGTTGGAAATGTGGACCCCCTTCAGGGTGGAGACAGGAGCTGCTGTGAGGGCAGATGTGGGCCTAGGGATCGTTAGTACTGGAGGGAGCTTTAAGGCCTGTGGAGGAAACAGCCCTGCAGACCTGACAGGCGGTGTAATTGCACTCTCTCCATTCATAGCCTTGTCTTCCATGCTTCTGTATTTCTCTTCAACCAACTCTGACACTGAGTGTGGCATGCAAGTTTGGTGATGTCCGTGTAGAGGTCTCCTGGAGTGTATCTCCAAGCACTTACACTCCGTCATAGACACTAAAAGATGGACTTGAAGAGCTCTGGCTCACTCAGAGTCCTGTGATTGGCACATTGTAGGCTGCTCACCCTGTCCTTTGTACAGTTTCACCTTTTGCCACTTTTCAGTCAAACCAAGTGTTTGTGAGCTGGAGACTGGCTCATGACAATGAAGTCTACTCTTAGAAATCATGGGCTACAAAACAGCTCACCTTAAATACCAGCATTTTCTGTGTGGTGTGCGACTATAATTAAAACAACAGACAATTGTTGAATAACATTAATATCCTGGAGAAACATGGTAGCATTGTGGTTTACGTTTTCAAGATGAAAAAAGTACACTGCCTTGTCCATCAAAACTGATTTCTTTCTCTTCACAGATGCTCAGCACCATGCTCACTTATGATGTACATACCTATCTGTATTCATGTACTTTACAGTAAACAGACCCATAGGAAAAACAAAACAAAACAAAACAAAACACCAGCCTACTCTGTGGCATATCTGTCACCTCTGCATTTGTGAGGGGGAAACAGGACCCTCTTGTGCTTCCCTGCTTCATAGCAAGTTCCAGGCAGCCAAAGCTACCTGTGTCTGTGTCAGAAAACACTTGAACATAGTTTGTAGATTTGCTAAATACTTTCAGTGGTACATTGCAGGTTTCTTACAGCCAGCACCATGACAGAAATCCATGCAATCAACACTTGGTGATTTAAGAGAATTGTGCTTAAGTTCTTTTGACTCAGTCAACATGTAATTTGTACTTTTCTCACTAACATACTTTAGGTAAGGACATTAAAATTTGAAGATTAGATACTTGTTTGCATTTAGAATGTGAGGACCGATTCTTTTCTTTGAATATTCTTTCCTATTTGCAGGGAATGTATGTTCTCTGTGGATAGTGGTCTGAGCTAGTTCCTATCATGAGCTGATGATACCTTTATCAGGTTTTCACTGAATTTTTCCATTTGGCTCCTTTTCCATTGAATCTGAGATTCCCATGATTTCCCATTTCACTCTGAGCTTCTCGTTGACTGATGCAGCTGTCTGTGGTTCACATTCGTGGCTCTTTCTCTGTTTCTTGGATGCCATCCCAGTCCTTGTTTCCCAGGTTCCACTGTGTTGAATGTGTCTTTACACTCAGTCAGAACAGACCTCCAGCTCTGTATGTGGATAGTGACAAGCATGTCCTCCACTGTGGTTGGCCTGTGGTGATAGTATATGCAAACAGTAAGCCCAGCTTCTAAGGTGGGTTCCCTTCCTCTTCCACAGGGTGGACTCCAGGCTCCATGGTGTCCAGATATTTCTTCCAAAGTCTTTTTCTTGTGTGCTACTGTTTGTGTGCGTGATGATGTGAGAGAAGACGTTCTACTCGTTTCTGCCGGCTCACGGAGGAGCAGTGCTGTGTGAGGTTGCTCTTGGAAAACTCTGGAGGGAAGGTGGCTGGATCAGACATTCAGTTCCTGGAGAGGACGTGTCATGACTCAGAGGTCATAGAGAGCAGATGCCCAATTTATTTGGACAGATTTGAAAAGGAGTCAAATACATAAGCAAGAAGTAAACTTGAGAGGCGCAGGTTTTCATTACTTTCTGGTTTTTGAGTTACAGGTTTGTGTCAGTGAGTCAGTCAGTAATTATTTTCAAATGCAGTGATGTATTTTGGGTCAACAATGTATGTGTGGTTGCCTGGCTAACTCTCAGCAGTGCAGACCTTGTTCTCTTCTTTGCCCTTGTTACATAAAATATGTCAGATAGATGAGAGTGTGAGTCCCAACTGTTTACTGGATACACTCCACCCACTATTTCATTACGGCAAGTCAGGAGCAATGTACTGACACTAAAATCCACAGATACATCTAGACACCTAACAGTCAGAGCAAAGCATGTTGTATTTATCTTGAAAGGAATATTCTAATTAAACATTCCATGTTGCCAACAAAACTTGGCATATAATCTTACGTGTCCTCTTCAGGGTCAGTTCCACACACCGAGTCAGGACAGCCATCTGTGATTACCTACGGCAAAAATGAGTGATTCCTGTGTGCCACACTCATGAGAGTCAAGAGTGGGACAAAGACCTGAGAGGTGTTACTCAGGGAAGTGTGGAGTGTGTTTTCAAAGTGGTATGTTCTGTAATTGATAGACAGGCCAGGTCTGAATGGAGGGCCACTAGTGTTTGGAGTCTGTACAGCTAGAAGCCCTGTCTTTGCATGTAGCCTTGAACTTCCCCACAATCTCCAGGTAGTCAGGTTTGTGTGAATCATGTAAAAAAAAAGATGTCCGGGGGACACTGAGAGGGGATGTAAGAATTGTTATGAGTTCTGCTCTGTCAGTCTGTGGTTGAAGCCTTGTCTCTAGGACCAGTCTTCACTCAAGGAGAGATCAGTCAGGCTCCAAAGATCAAGCTGGTAGTTAGTCTGAGTTTGCGGCAAGTTTTGATGAGTCTCAGTTTGTCCCTCTCAGACTGTACATTGTTTGCATTTCTTGTTCATTAAAAATGACCATTTCCAGTCTCAACTTCCTCTGAACTGTTTGCTCTAATTATGTCAGCTAAAATCCAACTAAATGAGACTGTGGTAGCAGGCCTTCTACCCTCCCCTCCCGTGAACCCCACAGTGAGGAGAGTGGACTGAGACAGCAGGCACTTCCCCATAGGGAACAGCGGTGGCCTGTCCTGGGCAGCGTTAGGGAGTGATCCTGGCAGTCAGTTCTCCATTGGATCTGCTCCAGTTCTCTCAGGAACAATGTTCCCACCTTCCCTCTGCTCTGGGTTCTTGCTGTTCTCCAAGCTGAGCATTTTCACCACAGTCATAGAGTTCATAAGAATGGAAGCATGGAACAGAAGGTTTTCCTTTACTTGTAAGTGTGGAAGAATGTTTTAGTAGCTACAAAGAAGCTTTCGGCAGAGTCTAATTGCTTTTTTCTTGAGCAGTCACTGGATTTTCTATCACTAAGTTTCTTCAGTGTAATATGACTTAGTGATCTGTCATTCTTCATATTGCTGCTTCACTCTGTCTGTTAGATAAAATACATTATTTCGGGTAAATTATTCTTTACCAAGCAGTTTTCCACTATACCAAATGTCTTCTAACTATAGGTATTCCCTCCTCCTAAGGCTGAAAACATCTTGCACTTTAGACCCAAGGCTCAGAGGATTTCAGCTGGATCTGACGTGAAGGTCTCCTGCTGAAGGATGAGGTATCATAGTGATGGAAGGTGCTTTGCAAGCTTCCAAGGGAGAGAAGCGAGAAACAGATCTATTTAGCGATGAACAGTTCTATCTGTGGACCACAACAATGACCAGTGTGGCAAGATCTTCCTCCAGGTGCACCGTGACTCTCACATCTTGGCATAAGCAGCAGCTGTCTAGTCGGACTTCCGTTCTACTCAAAGCAGGTTGACGATGCCTGCCAGCATAGCAGCTGCTCACAGCTGGATGGATGGTGGATCTTAGAGGAGTTCCTGCTACTACCATTGACTAAACCACCGTAATTTCTAAGTGCATTCCAAATACTCTTCCTAAGATCTACAGATAAGTGCAGCTGTCACTGCTTCTTAAAGGTTCTCTTAGAGTGCATTACGGAAGACAAAAGTGATCCAAGTGCGCAGTAGAAGGATCGATCGTGTAGTGGTCTCTCCCAGTGGATACATCTACATCATAATCCCTGTGAACTGGCTCAGGGAATATTTCTGGAGAAGGAGCTGTTGGGTTATATGAGCCAGAAGTTAGGCATGTCTACTGTGAGGTTGTGTCTCATAGAAAGTGAAGGGAGCTGCAGCCATGATACCTGAACAATGTGACTTGCTGGAAGAGAATAAACAAAAACACTAATGTCCATGATCAGCCATCAAAACACACATGTGGACACAATGAACAGATTCAGAAGTGCATATTTAGTTACATCTGTGTGTATATATTCATACAGGTGTGATAATAATTCAAAGGAGTAACAAGTGGGCAATGGGAATGGTTGGAATAAGGAGAAAAAGGGAAATTTTATATAATTATATGTTAAACAATTGTTGAAAAATAAAAGGTATAAAGTAATAGTAGTTGTGTCAGCAAGGTTGAAACTGAGAATTATTTCAGGCATAGAAGGATAAGTACCAGCCAGGTACGGTGATGCATGCCTGTAATCTCAGCACTCAGGGAGGCAGAGGCAGGCGCCTCTGTGAGTTTGAGGCCAGCCTTATATCCAAGCTTTGTCCAGGATAGCGAAGGGTACACAGAGAAACCCTGTCTCAAAAAAAATGGGAGGGGGCACCACTTGATCACATCAGTATCATCGATATGCTACATTCAAAGAATTTTAAGTCACAGAAGTTGGAGATGTAATGATTTTTCCCATCAGAACAGGACATGGGAGGCTGAGCCTGGGGATTTATGCCCTGGAACAGTGTGCTCTGAAGGCAATCAATGCTCACAGTACTGTTGCCCCAATTGCTGGATTTGTTAAGTATTATCTAATGTACATTTCTGAAGGCTGTATAGTGTTAGAGGAGATTAACATGTGAAAAGTGATGGAATGGCTGTGTACAGCTTACTCATAAAATTATTACCAAATTCCCTGTAATATAAAAATCCTTTCTATTTTTCATGAATTACTAAAAAGAAAAACAATATTATTACTTTCATAGAGTATTTAGGGTCTTTACTCAGTAAGATGTGAAAAACAATAGTTCTGAATTATAGAATATTTTGAAAAAATAAAGTAGCTGCATCAGCTCAAGTAGACACTAGTTGCTTTGCTTTATTCCAGTAATCCCTTTATAATTCAGAGCAAAAGCACCTCAGTACAATGAATGAATTCACTAGGAGTCAAAGGAAAGTTGTGACCTTGACAAGACATCCCACCTGCTATCTCAAACTAAAGGAAATAGACTTAGTAGCTTATCGTTGAGAAGGCCAGCCCGAAAGCAATCTTTCTTCTGAGATCTAAAAAACAAAGCAGCCTGGCAGACCAGTGGCTCCCAACATCCCGCCTTCGCTTTCCTTGAAGATGCATGCAGTGTGAGTTCAGTTTGTGTGACCACTTCAGAAAAGTCTGAGGGGTGTTGCTCACCTGTGTCAGAAGCACTTCTAGCTCTCCATTCATTCTGTGCATAATCTGGAACTGCATCCACTAGTACATGACGCATATGTTAGGGTTTCAGGAACTGTCATGTAGACCATGACCCAAGGCAGCTTGAAGAAGGAAAGGTTTTGTTTAGAACTTTGGGTACAGAACACCACTGAGGGAACTCAAGGCAGCAAACTGCAGGCAAGAAGTGGATCAGAGCCACAGAGAAACATTAGTTACTGGCTTCCTCTCCATGGCTTGCTCAGCTTATTTTCTAGTACCTCCTCACTAGGGGTCTGGTGGTTCCACCCACAATGGGCTGGGTTAGGTAATATGAATCACCAATTAGAAAAATAACAATAGGCTTGGCCTACGGGACAGGCTGATGGAGTCTTGCTATTGGCTCTACTGAGATAACTCTAATTTGTGCCAACTTGACCTGAGAAATAGGCAGCAAAATGCCCATTTGTTTAAGTGTGTTATCATTCATTGGTCTTCATTTCAGGAAATCCTATCATTCTGGGATGTGGCCATTGATTTCTCTCCAGAAGAGAGGGGGTGCCTGGATCCTGCTCAGTGGAATTTGTACAGGGACGTGATGTTGGAGAATTACAGCAACCTTGTGTTCCTGGGTGAGGATTGCATCTATAGCGCATTGTTATTTCACCACCAATGTGTACTTTCCTGCTTTTGTACAGTATCTCATTGAGCTTTGCATGTGAGTTGTATATCCTTCATTTATGGAATCTACCAAGATTGCTGTGTTACTAAGAGACATGTGTTGCTTTTCTCTTGGTCTGTGTTGGAAGTATGTTTCCTTTACTCTACTGGGAATCTTAGAAAATAAATGAAAATATTTCACAATTGGATTTTTAATGTTTTCCCTTTTAAATGTAAGTGCCTCTGCAGTATTCTAATACACCTATCAGAAAACATTTAAAGAATTAATTTTTATGATTTTTTTAATTCCATTATCTCTCTTTAATAAGCACTGTACTAGACAGTACAAGCCAGTTCCCTGTACTCAAACACTATTGTTCCTCTTTCCCACAAACAGGTCTTGCTGTCTCTAAGCCATACTTGGTAACATTTCTAGAGCAAAACCAAGGGCCTTCGTGTGTGGAAAGACAAGCAGCAGCCACCGTGCCTCCAGGTGTGTAGGAATAAGGGGGCAGATGACAGATGAGAAGTACAAGTATACAGCAGAAAGCCAGGCTTTATTGTGCACATAGAGACACTATGCTGCTGGGTTTTTTTGTTTGTTTGTTTTTGTTTTTTTCCAGACAGGGTTTCTCTGTGCATCCCTGGCTGTCCTAGAACTCACTCTGTAGACCAGGCTGGTCTTGAACTCACAGATCTACCTGCCTCTGCCTTTTGAGTGCTGGATCCGGCAGATGGAAATTACTTTTAAGGGATTGCCTTCAATGTCTTCTGTTGTTCTGAAAAGGCAGCTTTCAGGCATTTATGATTTTTAAGTGTCTAAGCTTTGTTCTTCCCCTCTGGTGAGCTCTGCTTATAGTTAATGAGCATGAAAAGTTCCTCATTTTGTTAAGTGTACATTATAAAGTAAGATAAAGGAGAATGCCACCCAGTACTGTCATACTAAGTCATTTATTTGCTGGCTGTGAAGAGCAGGCTCACCCAGAAAGAACTCTCCGCCCTGAAGTGAGGCATTGGCCCTGGGCTTTTTGGGGGGTTGGAGAGTAGGGCGTTGCGAGACTTTTAATGACCGCTTCTATTTTTATTTTCTTAGGTGTTATAGGTCTATTTAAATTCTCTATGTGATCTTGCCTGCAACAAGTGGTCCCTATCAAGAAAAGTGATCATTTCTTTTAGATTTTCCAATTTTGTGAAGTACAGATTTTTGAAGTGTGATCTAATGATATTTTGGATTTTCTTGGTGTCGTTGTTATGTCCCCCTTTTTGTCTCTGATTTTGTTAATTTTTGGATATTCTTTCCCTTTTGGTTTGGATAAGGGTTTATCTATCTTGTTGATTTTTCTCAAAGAGCGAATTCTTTGTTTTATTTATTCTTTGTGTCATTCCTTTGTTTCTGTTTTATTGATTTCAGCCTCCAGTTTTATTATTTCCTGCTGTCTGCTTCTCTTGGGTGAGGTTGCTTCTGGAGCTTTCAGGTGTGCTCTTAAGTTGCTAGTATGAGATTTCTCTCCAATATCTTTATATAGGCCCTTACTGCTATGAACCTTCATGTTCTTAGCACTGCTTTCATGAGTCCAATCAGTTTGGTGATGTTGGGCATTCATTTTATTAAATTCTAGGTAGTCCTTAATTTCAATTTTCGTGAGTTTGTAGGCTTTCTGTTGTTATTGAAATCCAACTCTAATCCATGGTAGTCTAATAGGATACAGGAAGTATTTCAATTTTTGTGTATCTGTTGAGACTTGCTTCATGACTGATTCTATGGTCAGATTTGGAAAGGTTTTATAAAACATTGAGAGGGTATATTCTTTTGGGTTTAGGTAACATTCTTTAGGTACATGTGGTTTATATCATCTGTTAAGTCCATTATTTATCTGTTTAGTTTTTGTCTAGATGACATGCCCATTGGTGAGAATGGGGTATTTAAATCTCCCAGTATTAATGTGTGATGGTCGATGTGTGATTTAAGTTTTAGTAATGTTTCTTTTACAAATGTCATTGTCCTTGCATTTGGGACATAGACATTAAGAACTGGGATGTCATCTCAGTGGATTTTTCCCTTCTATGAGTATAAAGTGTCCTTCGTATCTCTTTTGATTTATTTTGATTGTATGTCTATTTTGTAAGATATTTGAACAGCTATGCTATTTATTTTGCTTCTTGGGTACAAGGAAATCTTTTTCCAACCCTTTACTCTGACTTAATGTCTATCTTTGATGTAATCTTAATGTCTATCTTTGAGGTGTGGTTTTTGTATGCTGTAGAAGGATGGATCCTGTTTTTTATCCTTTTTGCTAGCCTGTGTCTCTTTATTGAGCAATTGAGGTTATTGATATTGAGAGATATTAGTGACCAGTGATTGTTAATTCCTGGGTTCTTAGGTGGGGGTGCTGTTGCTTGTGGTGGTGCTGATTGGTGTGTGTGTGTGTGTTTCTGATGCTTCCCTTTTTTGTTTTTGCTGGTGTGAGACGCTTTATTTCCTGTGTTTTCATGCATTTATTTAACCTACTTGGGTTGGGGTTTTTCTTCTAGTATGTTCTGTAAGACTGGATTTGTGAATAGGTATTGCTTAACCTTGACTTTGTCATGAAATATCTTGTTTTCTCCATCGCCGGTGTTTGAAAGTTTTGCTGGGTACAGTAGTCTGGGCTGGCATGTGTGGACTCTTAGAGTCTATAAGATATCTGTCCCCAGCCTTTTGGCTTTTAGAGT